GTTGTTACTTCACATTGTGCACAAAATGGTTATAGCCCTGTAGTTGTTACAATGTACAGGCAGATTTAATCATACAAATAACACTTTTTGCCACAGAAATCATATTACATGTTTGTGTACTTTGGCATCTATGAATCGGTATGTTGTGGTGTGCTTTCTACTTGCTGGTATTCCAGTGTTTGATCAGTCAACCCATTGTTTTGATTACTTATTCCTAGTGTTTGATCAGTCAACCCATCGTTTGATTACTTATTCCCAGTGTTTGATCAGTCAACCCATCGTTTGATTACTTATTCCTAGTGTTTGATCAGTCAACCCATCGTTTGATTACTTATTCCTAGTATTTGATCAGTCAACCTATCGTTTGATTACTTATTCCTAGTGTTTGATCAGTCAACCCTTCATTTGATTACTTATTCCCTGTGTTTGATCAGTCAACCCATCGTTTGATTACTTATTCCTAGTGTTTGATCAGTCAACCCATCGTTTGATTACTTATTCCCTGTGTTTGATCAGTCAACCCATTGTTTTGATTACTTATTCCTAGTGTTTGATCAGTCAACCCATCGTTTGATTACTTATTCCCTGTGTTTGATCAGTCAACCCATCGTTTGATTACTTATTCCTAGTGTTTGATCAGTCAACCCATCGTTTGATTACTTATTCCTAGTGTTTGATCAGTCAACCCATCGTTTGATTACTTATTCCTAGTGTTTGATCAGTCAAGTCATCGTTTGATTACTTATTCCTAGTGTTTGATCAGTCAACCTATCGTTTGATTACTTATTCCCAGTGTTTTTTTGATTAGTCAACCCATCGTTATGATTACTTATTCCTAGTAATTGATCAGTCAACCCATCGTTTGATTACTTATCCCCAGTGTTTGATCAGTCAACCCATCGTTTGATTACTTATTCCTAGTGTTTGATCAGTCAACCCATCGTTTGATTACTTATTCCTAGTGTTTGATCAGTCAACCCATCGTTTGATTACTTATTCCTAGTGTTTGATCAGTCAACCCATCGTTTGATTACTTATTCCTAGTGTTTGATCAGTCAACCCATCGTTTGATCAGTCAACGAAGTTGGAAAACAGGGACTTATAATTCGGTCTCCGTGCGTCCGTCCGGAGTCGTATCTCAGAATCCCCTGGACCGATTTCATTCATTCTTTGCATGTGCCTAGTACTTTATGTGGGACATATGCACATGCAGTGGTTTAGCGATTCGATTCAAAATGGCCGACTGGCAGCCATCTTATTTTTTGAAAATGTCGTATTTTGAACATGCTTTGTCAGTTTTCATTCAAATTTAGTACATAGATCATACATGTTAGGATACATGTCCCGACCGTCCATGAGTTCCTGAGTCTGTCTATCCGTCCATGTGTTCGTCCGTCCTTCAGTCTGTCCAGAGTCATATTTCAGAATCCTGTAGACCGATTCCGTTCATTATTTGCATGTGCCTAGTACCTTATGTGGGACATATGCACATGCAGTGGTTTAGCAATTCGATTCAAAATGCCCGACTGGCAGCCATCTTGTTTTTTGAAAATGTTGTATTTTGGACATGCTTTGTCAGTTGTCATTCAAACTTGGTACATAGATTATACATGTTAGGATACATGTCCATGACGATTTATTTCGCAATTGGATCAAAGATGGTCGACTGGCAGTCATTTTTTTTTGTTTTTTTCATGCGGTATCTTGGACGTGCTCTGTCAGTTTTCATTCAAATTTGGCACATACATGTACTTTATACATGTTAGGATGCATGTCCATGACAATTTGTTTCAAAATCTGATTGACAGCCATCTGACTTTTTGGCCTTACTACTATATTTCCACAATTTATGTACCATTTTCATTCGTATTTGGCACATACATCATAACAATCAGTGTGTTTCATAATCAGATCAAAGATGGCCGAATAACGACTGTTTTTATTTTTGGCCATATTACTACTACACAGAACACATGTTTTGATGTAAATAAACAATCTGTTGTATACGCCACTTGGAACTCAAATTTCAAGGACACGTTCGCGACAACCCCTCCGCTTTAATATGACGAGCACAAAGAGAACTTAATTTAACGGGGACTTGTTCCCAGTGTTTGATCCGTCAACCCATAGTTTGATTACTTATTCCCAGTGTTTGATCAGTCAACCCATCGTTTCGTTACTTATTCCCAGTTTGTAATCAGTCAACCCATCGTTTGATTACTTATTCCTAGTGTTTGATCAGTCAACCCTTCGTTTGATTACTTATTCCCAGTTTGTAATCATTCAACCCATCATTTGATTACTTACTCCCAGTTTGTAATCAGTCAACCCAGTGTTTGATCAGTCAACCCAGTGTTTGATCATAATCACCCATAATTGGACTACGGTTAAAATTCTGTTGAGCTATCACAGATTCTACTTTACCTCAGAACTTTAGTATTTCTTATTCCCAGTTTGTATTCAGTCAACCCAGTGTTTAATTAGTCAACCCAGTGCTTGATCAGTCAACCCAGTGTTTGATCAGTCAACCCAGTGTTTGATCAGTCAACCCATCATTTGATTACTTATTCCCAGTTTGTATTCAGTCAACCCAGTGTTTGATCAGTCAACCCAGTGTTTGATCATAATCACCCATAATTGGACTACGGTTAAAATTCTGTTGAGCTATCACAGATTCTACTTTACCTCAAAACTTTAGTATTTCTAGTTTCAAAACAAGTTGTTATCACTCATAGAAATACACAGAATCTGATCTGTTTCAAAACAAGTCTTTTAAAAATGAGCAGAACCATTGGATAGTTTTGCAAGTATAAATGTGTCTCTTTACCACTTTCTGGATTTTCAGGTCATAGGTCATCCCTTGTCAGGTGCTGTTAAAAATTCCTACACTGAGGACAATGCTGCTGAGGAGCAGAGACCAGGGACACCAACACCTGATGTAGGTAGTTCCTTGTCACTTGCATTGCCACTAGAGGGCGCTAAGCAAGAAACATTCAGTCTCTTTCTTGTTTATTTGGTGCTTCAGTGTGATATGCACACGTTATGGTGCCCTCTATCATCCCTGCAAGTGACCTGTGTGGTACTGTGAAGATTGTTTTTCCACCAAACCCTTAATAAACCTGTAATGTAAAAACATTCATTTTCAATTATTAATTATTAGTTTTTAGAATTCACTTGGTTTTTAACACTGTACAGCAAAGTACATGCAGAAATTGCACCTGTCATTGTGTTAATTTCAGGGATTTTTCTTGAACTTTTATATTTGACCAATCCCTGATCATTTTTTTCCAGCTTCAACCTACTGTTTACAAAAAAAATGAATGATTTTACAGGAAATGCACGATATCCTCTTGGTGGTAGTAATAGTTCTGCTTGTAACTTGCTATAAGGCGGTGAGAGCATGCATGGTTCACTTAAAGATACATTATTATGCAGGTTATCTGGGTGTCTGTTGTATTTTGTATAGTGGAGCAGCTGCAATGTTGTCAGAACTTAATAATTACTTATTCTTTTCAATTTCAGGATGAGGTCAAAGATGAACCCCCAAAAAGTAAGTTGCTATCTTTTTTATAAATAAATACCTTGTATTTGCTCTATTAGAAACTCACTTTCAATGAAGCACACTTAAACAAGAAATTACATTTATTGTGTACTGGATCAATGATTACTGTAAAATCTGTATTAGAAGTCGTGACTTCTATTAAAATGGTACAATGGAACAGAGGAGATGCGACTTCTATTAGAGCATCTACACATATGAGAAATGGTGAATTTCGGGTTCCAAATTGTTCAAAAAGAATGGGTGTGACTTCTATTAGGGATGCGGCTTCTAATACAGATTTTATGTTAGTTTGATCAAAGACACCACTCTGTCATCTATGTAAGAACAAATTGCCTTTTATGCAACAAATACAGTATACTGGAAATGATCACTATGAACAGTTATGCTATTTGTTATGAACAAATAATTGATCATTTCAAGTCTAATAGGAGTAGGAATGTTGCTGCCTCAATTAACTAAACCAGTGATAGTGTTGCCCAGAATAGGTAGTATCATGATCAGTAATCTATAAAAGTTAATATATGGTATACACTGTAATCTTTGTTTGTATACAATCATAGCAGTGATAGGAGGCAGTCATATTTACAGAAAAGACAATACTTATATAGTCTTATATTTGTGTTTTTAGTCAGTTTTTATGGTGCAAGTCAAAATGAAGATACATCCACTAATGAGAAAATGACAGATGCTAATCAGACAGAAGGAATATTAAGTATGAAGTCTAAAAAAAAGAAATCAGTGTCTTGGGTAGATGATTTGAAAGTCAGAGACCTTGTACAAGTTTGTTATTTTGAGTTGGATGAAACTGAAAGAGGTAAGAATCAACTTTTTTCTGTTTGCGTTTATGCGTATATTTGTAAAAAGTACAAAACTCTTTCTTGCAGTTCGATGAGGCTTGATATTATTTTCATTGACGTTTGTAAGAATTTTGAGTGGGTGAGAAATTTTTCTCTAAATGAAAAGTAAAACTGTTTAATAATAAAATCTGAATTTGCAGATTTCATCGAATATCAAGGCTTGTCAAAGTGTGAGAAGATGTCAGTTTTTTTCTCGTCTCGCACTTTTTACCAGTAGTGCTTGTAGTATTCTTAATTACTATGCATAACTTCAATATTCAGTTGCTAATGTTACTTTTTTTTTTACGTTCAGTCAATGTAAATTCTGTAAGGGACTTTCGTGATGCTGCTCACATGGAGATGATTCGAGAGAAAGAAACTATGGAATCTGCCAAAAGGGGAATGCAGTCACGTGCTGCAGCAGAAAAAGTACAAACAGATTTCATGCCTGTAAGTACAATTTTAAATAGTTATTTCGTTTGTGTGAGGTTGTAATCTATTTTCACTTAAAAACTCAACAAAGAAACTATGAAGACTAATATAGAACTAATATTACATGTCTTAGCAACATTATGAAGGCTAGTTGCCGGCTTGTTGATTTACGAAGGTTAGTTGCAGGCTTGTTGATTTACGAAGGTTAGTTGCAGGCTTGTTGATTTACGAAGGTTAGTTGCAGGCTTGTTGATTTACGAAGGTTAGTTGCAGGCTTGTTGATTTACGAAGGTTAGTTGCAGGCTTGTTGATTTACGAAGGCTAGTTGTGGGCTAATTGATTTACGAAGGCTAGTTGCAGGTTAGTTGATTCACAAAGGTTAGTTGCAGGCTAGTTGATTTACGAGGGGTAGTTGCAGGCTTGTTGATTTACAAAGGTTAGTTGCAAGTAGGCTACTTAGCTGATACATTCTTGCAATGACTGGGTGGTGTTCAGCTATTAACAAAGCTTATTAGCCTGTCCACTGTGATCTATTGAATACATCACACTCTGGGATTTCAATTTATCTTACATGTTTGTTTGCAGTGGAAGATTTTTGTGATAGACCTAATAACATCCTTAGCCAGACCAGGAAGCTGCAGCACAGAGAAAGATGCCCAGGTAAGTAGTACATTGCACATCTCATTTCAAGGTTAACCAAAATATTACAGATCTGTCTTTATCATACCTTCTCCTTAGGCTTGCCTCAGTCAGAAAGTGAACCTCATTCTGAGTTCTGAGCAAACAAGAAGTGATGGGGGTGTTAGACAAGATGAAACAGGTGTATACTATAGTTCTTTTTTGCTTATATTTAATTTGTCCTTTGATCAGTTTTCTTGTTTCTCTTATAGAGGGAGCGTGAAAAAAATGTACTACAGTCTCTGTTCTTCGATAAAGCCAGTCTTCCAGATAGTCCACATGAACCAGATCCTGAACAAATTGATCCGACTGAAGCCAATCCAAAAGAAGTCAAAATTATACCACTGGAAGATGTAAGTTGTTTTCTTGTATTCAAATAAGGATTTTTGATTGAGTGTTGGGTCTTACCGTAAATTCTGTTTTAGAAGCCGCATCTCTAATATAAGTCGCAACCATTCCTTTTGAACAATTGAGAACCAGACATTTACTATTTCTCATATGTGTAGATGTTCTAATAGAAGCCACATCCCCTCTGTTGCATTGTATCATTTTAATAGAAGCAGCAGCTTCTAATACAGATGTTACAGCAGATGGTATAATCTGCATCATCTGATTTTCTAACACATCTCCAATAGAAACAAGTAGGAAACACAAATTTTATTAATGAATGATTAAAATATGACTTATTTTGATATAGACACACCTCTATATTGTATGTAGCACATATACTATTAATAGAACAAATACACTAATCAGAACTTTCCACCTACATTATTGTCATCATATCTAGACTCACTGTTAATTTCATTTGTTCTCTTCAGGAGTCTAACATGGATAGTAGTACGCCGCTGTCTTACACTCATGAAATGTCCAAAGATTCGCCACCAAAGGTCAATGAGTCACCAACACTACATCACCCAGATCCACAGCAGCTATCACCACATCCTGGAATTCAACAGAACTCAGGCAGTCTTCCACCGGCACTAGCTACTTTAATGAAACAGGCAAAAGGTCCAGGTAATACGCCACCACCTGCATCCACAGTTGCAGCATCAAATCAACCGACATCCCCAACTACAACGGTGAAAAATGTGCAAAATTTACTCTCTTCTATTATGGTAAGTTGATCATCCCTCTTATATCATATTTAGTTCACTCTCTCATGTAATGAGAAAAAAGTAGCTTTCTGAGAACTCCATTTCTTTAATCATTGTGCTTTATTATGAAACTGAATACTGTCAAATACCCCAAATTAGCACAGTTGGTTTTTAAAACTATTTCATGAGAAATAGTGCTAGAATTCAACACAGTAATCCATTTCCCCAAGAAACTTTTACAATGCAAAAAACAACACATTTTGCGATTTGATTAAAAATTGGCCCAGTTCGAATTCCGAAACAATTTACTGTATTACCCTTGGTACGCGCCCCTCCCTGGGCAAGCACCCACCCCCTGTTTTCACAAAAGTTGCATGTTGGGGACATCCTCGGTTAAACGCCCAGGGTGATTTTTAGCCAAGAACGGGGTCAACAATAAAGTTTTATTTGTCAAAAACGAACGCGTTTGATTTATTTAAATAGTGTGTTTGTTACGGTAGTTTTCTTTTTGGAGTGTGTGGTGGCCCTGAAAAGGGTCGCTTTGTTTGTGTTTTTACGTAAAAACTCATTGGAACTTAACGACGTAAGATGAACCACGCAGCATGTGCCGCACACGTTCTGCTTTCTCTTCATTCACGATGAATCCAATATTGCAATATTGCAACGATCCATACCTTGGTGAGTGGTTTGAAGCACTTGGGCTTGGTTTCAAAACGTAGTATTTCGCTGACTGTGAATCTTTTGAGACATCACGTCGTAAACTTGCTACTTTCTTTCCATCCTTCACCACAGCTATGGCATTACGGTCATGTGGATTATTTTTCTGTCTTGAAGAAAAAACATTTTGCTGACCTCAAGTCCATTACAATAACCATAATGAGGCATGCCGACGATGGGAACTTGTTGCATCATCGTTATTTTTGTAATTTTGTCACGTGTGTGGGTGCGTGAATAAATCATGTTAATGAGGTCGACCAGAGTTTATTTTCAGTCTGTTTTTTATGTATCGCCATTTGGATATGTTTATGTATTCACAATAGTTTGTAAACATTTCACATCAGTAATAAAAGGTTTATTTGTTTCATAACCCTGTCGGATGTGGTCAATTGAATTGCCAATAACTTGCGTGTCGGACTATACCATTTAGGTGTGGGGGAGGTGGCTGTGGGATAGTTTAGCATGATGTGGTTGAGTGACAGGCCAATTAGTAACATGCTGTCTTTGTTTTATTTTACAGGCTGCTTTTAGGTTTAAAAATAAAGATCAGAGAT